TTCCTTCTGTTGGTGTTCTTGGAATTGTGATTTACATTATCTCTTTCTAAATTGCCCTTCAGGATACTTTGTAGAACTGGTTTTTTGGTTGTGAATTTCTTCAGTTGTTCTTTTTCGATGATCTATTTTTAAATGAAAAATCACATGGCATTTTTTGTCAGACAATTGCATGAATTGTAATCTACAAAGCATTCTGAAATACTTCACAGTTCCTCCAATTTAGTTTAAACCAATATTTTCATAGTCCCTCTATTCAACTGACCAATATTAAGTACGTACTTACTTCATATTGAGCGGGAGAGTGGAAAGACAGTTGAACTAGACAAAAGTCTGTCTTTACGTGCTTCCACCTTTATTTGAGAAACAAGCCCTAGTCATAGAATTCTAGTCCAAAGAACATTCTGAATATAATAATAAGAAATAAAAATTTTATATGTAAAATTACTGCTCATATAACAACAGCAACAATGATAGATCTGTGACATATCTTTTTTGTTAGTAACTCATCTAGAAGAAAAGTATATTAGACATTTTACAGATAAAAATTTTAAATTTTACTAACAGACATAAAAATTTGGATGGTAGGATATACTATGCTGGTGGATAGTATGATTTATTTTAAAGCTTTCAGTTTTTCCTAAATCTATAAATCCAGTGTGATCCTTATCAAGATATTTTTAAGGAATTTGAAGAGCTTATTCTAATATATATGTAGGAGACTAAATGTCTATGAACATCTTAAGTTGATTTTTTAAAAAAATAGATGAAAAATTTGCCCTTCTGCAGTATGTGAGGTACTGCAAAAATAGAAGAAGCAGGAAGGAGGTGAACAGAAAGATGAGGAAGCAGGAGGAGGAGGGAAGAGGAGGAAGAGGAAGGAAGGGAGAGAGAGAGGAAGGAGAGGAGGAAGAAAAAGAAAAAGAAGAGGAAGAGGAGAAGATGATGGAGGAGGAGGAAGAGGAGGAAGAAAGAGGAGAAGAAGGAGGAGGCACAGTAAAAGACCAGTAGACCAAAGGAGTAGACTATAGAGCTCAGAAAGAGATAATATGATAAATGTAATCTCACAGCATTGCTTTGTACTAGAAAGAGTGGATTACCATTTGACCACCAATTTTGTGACCTTGTTAGTCTGTGTGTCACACTGCATGACAATAATTAAATGTAAGTATATGGAGCTACTGATTTTTTTTGACATTTAGGATGCCCAGCCAGGACCTAAAGTGTCCAGAGCCCCCAGTCTAGAGACCTCCACCTCTGGCTATGAGAAGCCCCACCAATTCACCACATTATGCTGAGAATGTGCTGTCATATTCTCTTGTTTCCATGATCTTACAAATATTAAAAAACATTGCTCTGTGGAGAAAAATAAAGTTGGATTGCTATCCCATATCACATATAAAGGTGACCTCTATCATTGGAGAGATGCAAATGAAAACAATGCTGAGATTCCACCTCACTCCAGAAACAATGGCTGCTATCATGAAATCAACCAATAACAAATGCTGGCGGGGCTGTGGGGAAAGAGGAACCCTGCTCCAC